TTTTTTTTTTTTTTTTTTTTTTTAATTATACTTTGCCTATGTTTTATTATTTGTGTAAGATTTCTTTTTCAATTTTGTTCCAGATCTATTTTTTTCATGGTAATTTATGAAATGCAATTGAAAATGTTGACCTGTTTTTCTCTGGTAATGTTTTCTTTTACATCATTTCTTGTTCAGATATCCCATACTGCTGTTACATCAATAATTGACGGTTTGAAGAAACTATACAAAGAAAAACTAAAGCCTCTGGAGGCTACTTATCTGTTTAATGATTTTGTGTCCCCATCGCTGGTGAGTAGATTGGGAAATTTCTTATCCACTTAAACTTTTTGGTTGAGATGGAAGAAGAGTTGTTACATGGTTTACCTCCATTGTGTAAAATATTCCTTCAATGTGTTTCAAAGTTTTGACTAATTTCTTGCAGACAAGCAGTGATTTTGATGCTAAGCCGATGATAATGTTGTTGGGCCAATATTCAACTGGAAAGACAACATTTATCAAACATTTGTTAAGATGTAATTATCCAGGTGAGTTGAATTTGTACTTTATCATCTTTTGTAATCTGCATGTATAAACTTCATATATTGCATGCTTTCTTAATTTATTTAATTTTTTTTCCTCAGGAGCTCACATAGGACCGGAGCCAACAACTGATAGATTTGTAGTGGTTATGGTAAGAGAAACCCTTTGTTTTGCTGTCAAATAATAAGTTTAAACTAAAAAATAATAGCTGATAGCTTGCTTTTTGGACTTTTTGTCTTTGACATTTTTTGCTTGAAACATACCAGAGTCTAATTGTTTGTGCAATTCTATTTTGATTATCCTACAACTGTTTTATGTTATAATTTTTACTAATCTCCGCTGATTATATTTTTGCACTCTGTATTTTGTTTAGGGAAAGATATGGATTTAGTATGTCTAATTAATTGCTTATTGTTCAGAATAAAAAGAAAAATAATACTTGGAATTGCATATTGTACCATTTTATTAGTATTTCCTCCATGATGAATGTGTTTCCTATAATTTCTTTTATTTTCCACTCTATAAAATGTGTTTTCACCAAACTACTTTGGTCGATTGGCCAAAATAAGAAAGAACTGCAAGTCAAATGAGGAACTTTACCTATGTAACCAAACTGGGTGATTTATCCTTATTAAGGGATATGTCTAACACGTTTACGGTTCCATTGGTTTATTGTGAATTTGTACTCAGTCTGGACCAGATGAGAGAAGCGTTCCAGGAAACACAATTGCTGTTCAAGCAGACATGCCATTCTCCGGTCTGACATCCTTCGGTGGAGCGTTCTTGTCGAAGTTTGAATGTTCTCAAATGCCGCATCCTGTACGTTGAAGTTTGTAATAGCTTATTTAAAAATATTTAATACTGTCAGTTTAATTCATTGCTTTTAAAGTTTATGCAGTTTCATTTGCCAAATTGCTAATACTTTTTACGTATACTTTCAGCTCCTTGATCAAATTACATTTGTGGATACTCCTGGGGTTCTCTCTGGGGAAAAGCAACGCACACAGAGAAGCTATGATTTCACAGGGGTTATATCATGGTTCGCAGCAAAATGTGATCTCATTCTTCTTTTGTTTGATCCCCATAAACTGGATATCAGCGACGAGTTCAAGCGTGTTATAGGATCCCTTCGTGGTCAAGATGATAAGATTCGAGTTGTCCTCAATAAAGCAGATCAAGTTGATACTCAACAAGTAAGATTTAGACCTCTGCAATTATTTTCTTCTTTATAGTTTCCTTTATTGGAGGATTATAATGTATACCCCTTTGACTTTCCATCATTCTAGTTAATGAGAGTATATGGAGCATTGATGTGGTCTCTCGGCAAAGTGTTGAATACTCCAGAGGTCTCTCGTGTTTATATTGGGTAGGTTCTTTGATTCAGTCTATTATTTATGTATTATAGTGTTGATCATTGATAATTTCCTCTTAGATTTACTGATTTATATAAACATAAAACGTTAATCTCCGAACTGATCTTTCATTGATATCAGCATTTTCTTGGATTGTCATTCGTAATTTTATTATCTGATTGTATCAGGTCATTTAATGACAAGCCTGTTAATGAAGCCTCTGTCGGCCCAATTGGTCGCGATCTTTTTATCAAGGAACAAGATGACCTGTTAGCAGATTTGATCGATATTCCAAAGAAAGCGTGTGACCGTCGGGTAATTTGATTTACATGTTTAATGCGTATTTTCCATCACCATGCTTAAATAACGAAGTTTTCATTTTCACATTCCAGATTAATGAATTTGTAAAACGCGCCAGAGAGGCTAAGATTCATGCCTACATTATCAGCCATCTTAAAAAGGAGATGCCTGCCATGATAGGCAAAGCTAAAGCTCAACAACGGCTTATTGATAATCTTGAAGATGAATTTGGAAAGGTAAATTTATTCATTTCATCTTTCGTTCAAATGTCTGAATTTAATCTTTATAGTTTAAATAAATCTTAAAAATAGGCCTTGTCTTAGTAAAATTTAGTAAAATATAGAGAGCATCCTAATAGAGGCTTACAACAATCGGAATGACTAATTTTGAGATTTGTTGAATGTCACTTGGAAAGAAATCTGTCTAACCATATTTGATCCTCTCCTGCCGCTCTCTCAATCTCATCTATGGGGGATCCGACTCAATGGATCCCTTGTCGTCCTCTCTCAATCTCATTTGCGGGTATCCCTCTTGTCCGTGCTGGGGAGAGGTGGCTTAAAAATTTGAAAGTGGATGAAAAAGAGTGAAAATAATGTTTGGATCATATCTTTAAACTGTGGATGACAGGTTCAAAGAGAGTACCACCTACCGGCAGGTGACTTCCCAAGCGTGGAGCATTTTAAGGAGGTATTAAATGGGTACAGCATTGATAAATTTGAGAAATTGAAGCCCAAAATGATTCAAGCTGTGGATGATATGCTTGCCTATGACATTCCACAACTTCTCAAGAACTTCAAAAATCCATATGAGTGAAGCCATCTAAAATAACATTATATTATTTTTGTAGATGGCCAATCTAAGTAAAGTATAGGTTCTTCATTAATCGTTCAATCAAAGGTTTAGGTTATGATTCAAAGTACAGTTATAATTTAAAGTTGGGTATTTCGATGTAATCGAAGTTTTTGTTTTGTTTTGTTTTGTTGATTGTTTGTGGCTTGTTGTATAGCGTATGATGTTTTATAATTTACAAGTCCATTTCTGGTTTTTTATTAGAAATGAATGCTTATAACGAAGTTTGATGGAACTAAATAAATATTAATCTAAGCTTAGGTTTGTTGGTTGAAATATTTTATGTTTACCTTAAACTTCCAATATTCAATATTTTTTAACCAAAAACTAGGGAACCCAATTTATTTCCATCAACCTTTGGTATATCCGTTGAATCAATATCAAGAATCATTAATATAGTTTTTTTTCATTATTAGAAAATAGAAATCTGGATTTCAGTATGGCAGTGGGATATGAGTAGCATTCCCATGATTTACATTTTATCTTTTGTTTGTTTGTTTCGAAACATATATTGATCTGACCTGATTCTTACTTTTTCTATTGATTTTTTTTTGGGTAACTTTTTATTATGATGAATGCGCTAACTATAGCTAACTATAGATGTTTAATGACCCTTGGTTTCTACTTAACCTAAAGTCATTATCGTCATACATAATGTACTCATTTTGTGCGTAAATAATAATTTGAAACTTCAACATAAAAAATAATAATTTAAAACTTCAACATAAAACACTGTCATGGACTTGCGTGTTCGACTAGCGATTGTAGCGATTGTGCGGCACTCACTTTCCGGACAAGTGAGCTAAATATAAGTAGCATGGGACAAGTGAGCTAAATATAAGTAGCATGTGTATGAGTGTCTTGTCTCAACAGAAGTAGCATGTCTCTGTCTTTACTAGTAGCATGTTTCTGTCTTTCTTGTCTTTCTTGAAATAGAAGTAGCATGCACAAGAGTGTCTTTGTCTTTACCTGAAATAGAAGTAGCATGTACATGAGTGTCTTTCTCTTTACCTAAAATAGAAGTAGCATGTACATTAGTGTCTTTCTCTTTACCTAAAATAGAAGTAGCATGTACATTAGTGTCTTTTATCTTTACCTGAAATATAAGTAGCATGTACATGAGTGTCTTTGTCTGAAATAGAAGACCATAACATATATAGTCAAATGTGTATGTATTATATTGTATTATATTGCAATATAAGACCATAACCTACAGAAGTGTCTTTGTATTATATTGTCAAACGTGTTACACTATAACATATATCGTATCATCAGCACATCACATCATAGCACGTGTCATAACATTAATATAACATATCATATCACAAACATTTCATAGTCATATCATTTCATGGACATATCATATGAGTCATATCATTTCATGAATATATCATAGTCATATCATTTCATAAACATATCACAATCTTATCATTTCACATATATCAAGCATATGACATGTTTAGAACCACCGAGCACATGTCATCATACAACATCAATTTCTAACCATACCGAGGACAACACCACTTAGTTGACCTTAGCAGACGTTTCCTCAATTTAAGTTCAATTAGGTGAATTTCTTTCTATTTTTCTTTTTCTTTTTCTTTTTCTAGAATAACACCATATAATTTATATTTAAAATTTATTAATTAACATGAAATTAAATGTATTAATAAAATTAATGAGACAAGTAGTTTAGGATATCTAAGTCTGAAAAGTGTTTTATCTATTTGGACTTTTTAGAAAAAATTATTAAAATAAGATATAAATCTAAACAAAAGACAGTAAGATTATAAATTTATAAATCTATTAGGGAAAAACTAAAATAAAATATTAAATTTAAATTTTGAGAAAATTAGAATTTAAGTTTAGGTTTAATTTTATGAAAATAAAATTCTAATTTTAAAAAATAGACTAAATTAAAAAATTTCATTTAAATTTAAAATAAAAATTGAGAATAAAATAAAAGGATATCAAACCAAAAGAAATGCAGAAAACCCATCGATTGACTCGAAAAGCTCGCTCCGAGTTTCCTTGAAGGGAGAGAAATGGATAATACGAAGATGGCGAAAAGGTTTCAGGGGAAGGTCGCCATTGTTACTGCTTCCACTCAAGGTATTGGCTTCCGAATCGCTCAACGTCTCGCCTTGGAAGGTGCCTCTGTCGTCATTTCTTCCCGCAGACAGGTTCATCATTGATATTCCCTAATTCTTTCTTAAGGCCTAAATTTGAGCATCGTCACTTGATTCTTCTGTTTTTCGTTGTGAATCTATTCACACATCTGAAATTAATGACTTACAATCGTTGTTTTGCATTGATCAAGTCGGATCAAGATCGATTCTCGAACTCATTCATTTCATTAGATTTTTTTTTTTGTCAAACAATTAATCTGGACTCTTTAGGCCGCATTCAGTGGGGGGGGGGGG